TAACTCCTGTACTTGTAGCTGTCGTGTCAATTTTGGGTGCACTACATTTTTAAACTTGCCTACTACATCAACCACCCCCTTGATAACCCTTAAAAACTAAATTGAGTGGTTACCTTAGTTTCTATGTTCTATAAGTTATCTTGGCTTCTTTTCTATCAGAACTTGTTCTGGCATATTATACTTATACTGAGCTTAAAGGAACTGTTATTACATTATCTAGCGACTACAGTGTTCGGCAATTGGCGGTCTTTTGGCAATTTCCGTTACCATGGAAACCGTTCGAAACTTGCTTCGCAAATGTCGGCTGGGGTTTCGGGATGGGTCCTAATCTCTCATGAAATGTTGCGGTTGGTGTGATTTTCAGCCACTATAAAAAGCTGAAAACGGCGGGAAGGAACCCGATTAACAGCGCATGTCTACAACAGCCGGACGTCCTCTGTTTTTCTGTTACATCAGTTTGATTGAAAATAGCAATAAGTATTCAGGGTTGGCTTTAGGCTTTAACTGTACCTGGTAATGCTAGTTATAATTGAATTCTCCGTCCAATTTTACATTTGTGTATAAAATTTCTTTCTGGTACGTGGCTAGGTAGATGTACAGTGACATTTTTCAGGCAATCGCTGGCTCAGCCAGTCTCATTGTCTGCCATCTTGTCCAATGCAAACAAAGCCAAAACGAAAGTTGCGCAGTTTGGTTGCGCAGAGAAAACTTGTTTCTGGGAGACAAGTTTTAGCAGCTGTTTTTTTTACATATCTCCACAAAAACTTACATATCTTAGCTCAGAAATGACATACAAGCCTAAATGAGGTACCGTTAGAAAAAGATTGTTTACAGCTGTCTAACTGTGCTGGTTTTATTGGTGTAGAGGGCATTTAAAAAATTTGACTAAAGTACCTACATTATCAACGTGTTTTAAAAACATATGTGTTACTGCTATGTAACACTGCAACACATACCGCCATATAAAGGGCTACAAAATACTGGCATCTGCTACTTACGGTAACTTCATCATCCTTTCTGATGGGCATACTTCTGACATTGTATTTCTGCCTGAGCTCTTTTGAGAGGGGTGAACTCATGATTTTCCTCCTGATATGAGAGGGGGCATTGAAATGCCGGGCCCTATTTTTTCGTCTAGATCCCGACACAGCCTTGTTGAACTTCATCCTGAAAAAATTATTTTTAATCAATATATAGATACTACATTAGGACAATGATGCACAATAAAATCGTCACAAAACCCTACGTTCAGCGTGTTAAAAGTTGAAAAAACAATATCAACACGCTTTCAGAAATTTAAAAACAATGATTTTGAGTAACTTGCACAAAATATCCCGATTTTCGCAGCCAAATTGCAGTGTGTATGACATAATACACATAAAGTCACAGAGATAAATTACTATCATAGTTTACATACGTGAATATAATACTGATAAAGTATGGATGATACAGTAAAACACTGGATTTCTGTTGGATATAATCTGAGACATTTTACCTACTTCGTCTCCGGCTCCCCGCAGTAGTAGAAAAGAACGTCTATCCGTTTCCGTTTCCTAAAGGGGCATCACTCTGTCACTCTGTCTACCGCGAATGAACATTGCCAGATGAATAATTGTTGGTAATGATGATTTTAAAATGAATTGCTGTAACTACGGCGTAAAATAATCACTAAAAACACTAAACATAGAACAGCTTTATAATGTTACAATTAGAAAAACAGAGGTTGTCGTGACGAAAAGTTTTGGTCAAATACAACAATAAAAAACAAACCTTAGCAGTGCTTAAGAAGATGAAGATTTTAGCAGCACAATGGTTAAAATAGAAAAGGGGGGGGGGGCGGGCGGTTATAGCTAACAGAACGTAATGGTATACCATATACAGTTGAGTTAGCTAATTCGATGTAGGTTAGCTATTAGCATTCCAATGTAAATAAACGGATAGTATATTTTTTTTATTTCTGGAAACTATCATTTTTGGCCACGGCGTCTCCCAATATAAATGATATACTTGAAATGAACACTTACTTTAAAAGATAATTTCTGTACAAAAATATTTGGGGGAGGAGGCTGGGCACCATCCTTCCCATTTTGGGGGAAGGGCACACTTACAAATCCTGATCGCCCCCTCCCCAACCTAATAACTTGCCTAGGATATTTGTATTGAGGTGAGAATGGTGTGGTCAGAGGTGTACCCCCAGTGTTTCTTACCTAAAAGGGGGGGGGGGGGGGGGGGGGGTCCACACCCAATTTTCATCCAGTTGTGAGGAGGACGTGGTTGGGGGGTTGGGCCTGCCTCTTTCCCTCGTTCTTTGCGCAGAAAAAAAAAGGGGAGGGATGACTGAACGCTAAAAAATAGGATGAATTCACGAGGAGTAAAGGAAAAAAAAGAGATATGTAACAACAGTTTCAGGACAGAGAAGATGGCGCTATACTGGACCCTTTCTGTGAAGAGGTGAACAGAGAATCACCAAAAAAGGCACTGAAGTGAGATATAGCGGGATTGAGGATATCACGATGTCCAAGAGAAACCCTAAGGCGAACGTTGATGGGAGAGGCTAAAGGTGCTCGACTGGATTCAGTCCATAAAATCGAAAGGATTCCACAGGATAGAGCCGAATGGGGAAATATATCGTGTACCCTGTGTGTCATACAATGGCACAAAAGGACAATAAATGAATGATTTCAATTGTTCCCCCCCCCCCCCCCCCCCCCCCAAGAATTGTAGCCTGAAAGATTGACACGCAAAGAGCTACTTTTCGGATGTGAATCCAACGGAAGCATATCCCAGAAACCTCGCTCACCCATTTGAAACAGCTATATTGGAGCGCCTTGTCGTTAAGATGTAACCTTTAAGAGGCAAACATTGTTACAAGTGGAAGGGCAACGTCAAGAGACAAACGAACAGAAGATAGACTTCTATCTTTCTACTTCTTTCTATGAATGCCAATCAATACACTTTCTATTACTTGATTAAACCAAGACATGAGACTGTTGGAGATCCACTGAGGCCAATCTGTGGAGATTGCATCTGATTGCTTGATAGTTCAGTAGCATGTGATACCGTTGCAATTTGTGGTTTAGTTTGATCTCTTTCTCTGCCAACTATCTAATAATAATCTCGCCAAATTGTTCTGCTATCCTTCTCTATAACGTGCAGCCCATACCATGTCCTATTGTTTTTACACACTCTCTCCTGGCACTGGTGAAACGTGGCAAGCTTGCTTGGTTTTTGCATAATGTGAGATATGATTCGATTGCAAAGACTGTACTTTAAGAATACTGGGGGGGGGGGGGGAGGGGGGGCTGGTAGTTGTCAAAGAAGAGAAAGGCAAAGAAGAACCTGAATGACAACATCAAGAAATGGACAGGACTAAGTTGTTATCCACTTAATTATCGAGTAGAAGACAGAGAGAGATGGCGGGGTTTATGTGTTAATGCTTCAATCGATATACCTCCACGACCCTAATGGATCAAGGCTTACGTTATTTTATGTTTTATGTTTTCCCACTTTATTTGTATGGGAGACTGAGTGGGCTCGATGCATGGTGTCCGTCCGTCTCGAGTGCTAGAATTTCTAGGTTCAGGCCCTGCTGAAGGCTGGGATTTTTTTACGTGAACGTCTAATAATTTTCCCTGGTCTCTGGGTAGTGTATTGGTGGGCACATAACCAAAAAAAAAAAAAGTCTTTTGCCAGTTCGAATTCGAAAAGAGCAGCCTAACGGCGCTGTGCGGGCAAAATTTGGAGTTAAGAATCTAACTAAAGTATTCCAGGATCCTCGCCTTGCTACGGAGTTCGTGCACTGCGCTGAGATTCTTCAAACTCAGGCTTGAATTAGAAGTAGAACTGAGCGTTTATAGGTTGCTAATCATTTGCCAAGATGTTGATTCGTTGTTCAAACCTAGTTTTCAATACCCTCTCTCTTTTCCGATTCTTTGCGTGTGCTATCTCAATGTTCTTTTATCACACAAGCGATAAACACCCGATGACACAAAGTGCCACCATGTGAATGAGGATCACCCGTGGAGAGGTCCCAGAAACCGCGTTCAGCCATTAGACAATATTTATGGCCGGGCTATATCGCGGCCCCTGACAAGGGCCAGAGTAGAGCTTCACATAACGAAAAATTGCAGCTTACAAGGGAATGACTAGATTAATAATTTGTGTGTGCTTTTATTCATTTGAGCTTAGTTTAGTTTAGTCGACACTTTTGCGGCAATCCTTTTTTTTTTTTTTAATTTGTAAAACCACACCAGGTTGTTGTCGGGAGCCCTAAATATAACCTAACAGTTGAACAGGGTTCCTGGGACTTGTACCCTGGTGAGTCTCGCTTGAATGGTGGCACTTTGCGGCACCAGGTGTTTATCGCTAGTTGTGCGATCCTGGTGGGGTTTTAAACGACACTTGCTCAGAACCATTAACAATTACCCTGCACTTTTGTCAAGCATGATATTATTGGTTATCTCCCGTGCACCACAACTGACTGACTGACTGACTTTCTACCCCACCAGGACATCACACAAGCGACAAACACCCGATGACACAAAGTGCCACCATGCGGGTGAGGATCGCCGTGGAGAGGTCCCAGAAACCGCGTTCAGACATTTGGCCATATTTATGGCCTGACTATATTGCGGCCCCTGGCAAAAGCCAGAGTAGGGCTTCAAATGACAAAAAATTTCGTCCTGAAAAGGACGAAACTGGATAATTATCTCCCGTGCACCACAAGTAAATCAAAAGGTTAAAGCCTTCTTAACATTACTAGCGTCTTCTGGGATGGTTTTGTGCAAGCCCCGGTGTTTAAGTGTGTTCTGTGTACACGTGTACGTGACAATGAATGTGATTTTTGTTTGTAAATCAGTGAGAGAAACTGGTTTATTGATTTCACATTAATTTGCCTCTTTTCCCACAACATGCGGTGCTTTAGCCACCGGCTGCTTGGCTGTCTTGGCTTCTTTGACAGGGGCAAGCTTTTTTGCCTTCTTCTATGCTTCCTTGTAAGCTCTGGTAGCCTGTTCAAGCCTGGCTTTGCGAACCTCGGGTTTATGGTTTCCCTTGTCTAGAATGTCATTAGGGTGGCACCAATAATGGCCCTCTGGAACTTCTGGGCGCGGCATGACTTTTTTTTTTTTTTTAAGCCACCTCCTCAGTTTGGCCCTTTTTGTAGGTAGGTAGGTAAATTGTACCCCACCAGGACATCACAAAAGCGATAAACACCCGTAGACACAAAATTGCCACGATGTGGATGAGGATCGCCCGTGGAGAGACCTCAGAAACCCTTTTCAGCTGTTAGGCCATATTTAAGGCCCAGCTATATTTAGGGCCCCAGGCAAAAGCCAGGGTCTGGTTCGGTTCGGTAGAAATAAAAAAAAAGTAAAAAATCCGACGCTTCAGCGTGTCACTGGGACGTTGCTTTACTTGCGTCTTCCTTTCTGTGCGGCTTTGACTTGGTATTGTCGACGTGTACACACGCCTGCTGGATTTCCGCAACATAGTTGGGGACTGGATGTCTGCTAGTCCTGAGAAGGACTAGCAGCGTGTGCCGGGGCGGCCTCGAACGGGTGGGAGGGATTGGGTTCGGCGGTTGTCATCATGCCTGGTTTTTGTGGCGCTTTACATTTCTGCCTGAGTTTTGTTGCTTCTGTCAGAGTGAGGTAGGTGGGCGTGGCTTGGGCGGCGGACATTTTGTCGTCTGATTGTGGGCTGTGAGGTTTCTGCGGGCTTGTTCAGCTGTCATGGTGGCTTGTGAGGTTTTCATTGGTTGCTGCATGTTGGCTTTTTGTTTGCTACTTCTCGTGGGCGTCGTTTCCGTTTGAGTGGGCTGCTATCTTCGTTTTGTTGTTCCTTATGCTTTCGAGTTGAAGATGCCGGGTAGCCTCTTTGAGTTGTTTCACCTCCTTGTGTATTGCTGAGAAGTCGCCCTTCAGGCATTCTTTGAGGATGTACAGGTCTTGTGCGCATTTCTTCTCCAGATCTCCGGGTTTCACGTGTGCGTCGTGGATCTGCCTTTTTCTGTCTTTTTCTTTCTTCGCGTTTTCTCTGGCTTCTATCACTCTGTGCGTGGCTTGGAGTGCAGCGCTGAGTTTGTCGCGTTCTTTGTTGGCCTCGGCTACCTCTGCTTTTGTTTTTGTCAGGTCTTTCTTGATGGTGGCTACCTCGGAAAGTATACTGGTCTGGTTGTCTTTCAGTTCTTTGGCGGCTACTGCATTTGTTTTCTTCAACTTCTTGAGGTCGGTGAGATTTGCCATCAAGTCTGTTTTGAACTTCGCCATTTCTGTATTTTCCGTCTCGAGTCTCCTTTGTGTCTCTATGGCTGCCTGTAGGATGCTTCTCAGGTCTATCATTTCGTCCCTGTCTTGAGTCCTGAGTGCCATGATTCTTGCGTTCTCTTCTCGCAGGGATTTGATTTCGTCTCTCAGCTGCGTAATGACGTTGTTGTTCACAGCTGTCGGACTGGGCGCCTGATATCTTTGTTTCGGCTCTGGTTTGTGTGTGGTCCTGGTGGTGGTTTTCGCCATCGTTCTCTTTACTTCTTTCAGGTACGGGCAACCCATGTACCTGGCGCTGTGTGCACCGGAGCAGTTGGAACATCTTCTGCTTGCGTTTGGTTTTTTAAAGTCGGGGTCCACTTTTGCCAGAGGGCATTCCCCGAATAGGTGAGGGCCGGAACAGTAACGGCACGATGGGCTGCTGCGGCATGACGAGGCAGAGTGCCACGCCTTGTTGCAGCGAGAGCACTGCAGAACTTCTGTGGTGTAGGCTCCCGGTCGTTGCTGCTGCTGCCTGAGTGGGCGGGTGTTGGTCGGTTCCTGCGCCACGACTGGGGCGGCTTCTATGTATACAGGAGCCTCGATAGGGCATATATCCAGGGCTGGCGGTGTCTGGGCGAGTGAGGCTGGCGTCTCTTCTGGGTCGTCGGCCTGTTCTGGCACTGTCGGCACTGTCGGCACCGTTGGGGCTGGTGCGGCGACAGGCTCATCTTCCTTCTTGGTAGAGGTCGACCTGGTTTCCCGGTGCTGGGTAGGAATCTTCTTGCCACGGGCCATGGTTTCGTGTGGCTGTGGCTGTGGCTGGCTGGCAGAGGCGGTACTTCAAAGGCTGCTGTCGAGAGCTAGGTCCCTTCGGAGTAGGCAAGGCTTGTTAGAGTATTCTGAAAAGAACACCCAAGCGTGCTTCCTCCTCAGTTCACTAGACAAACGAGTAACAATTGGCGGGTACGTCTGCGTTATCGGGTGGTAGAGCAAGCGAGAGCTGTTTGCGGCTTGGCTGTCGGGCTGCGATGATGTGTGCGGGCCAGGGTCTGGCTTCAAAATAACTAAAAATTGCATCCCACTTGGGGACGACAGTGGCCTTTTTTGTCCTCTCTTCTGTTAAGTACAGACCAGTTGATGTTTCTAGGTTTGCGTTTCATCATGTGGGAGCGCTCACATTTGTGGCTAAAAAAAAGGCTGAAAGTCCTGCCATCAGCCTTGACCAGACGCTAGCCATGGCCTAGGTATATTTTGCACCCACTGTATGAACAAAGTTTGAGTATAATCTTGACGATCAGATACAATACGTCTGAGACAAAGATAAAATGAAATGAATTTCTCCATAAGATTACCAGTCTGTTCTATACTGGCACGGCCGTCTCCAGCTTAGAGAAGGCGGTATATTCTAGTCTTGATAGCGAATGTTTATAGGTTGACGGGAAAACCCGTACGCGTAAAAAACCCACCAAAAGGAAAACGACCGAGATGCAAAAGAATTGTCAAATGACTAGCTGAACCCTACGGTATTCTGGTGTGCAATTCGAAAAATTTTACTCATTACATTACAAAGATTTTGAATGTCAAAATTATGCCCCTTCCATTAGCTACCCAGATCAGTTAGCTGCGTATCTTTTATAGGAGGTTGCAGAACCAACCCCAGCATTTTTTGGGTGCTGTGTTCTTCATAAGTCAATTTACCGTTCATTAGTTTGCCATTGCTCACTAAACAGCCAGGTCTCGGTACCACTGTCCCAAACCAACGCAAGACAAATCGTCCGCTGCTGGGATCGAATCCGAATTATACGAAGCGCAGTTTCAACGCCTAAGCTTGCAGATCACATAAAATAAATGCCCCCTCATATTGAAGTAACGTTGAAAATGGCAATACATACCCTTGCATCTGCACTCACACAGCACTGCAGGTGATTCCAGGCTGATTTACCCATTGTGGGTGCCCCTTTATAACTTCTTTGCAGGTTTAACGGCTTATTTTCGAATTTGCCATGTTGATCTGCCATAAACTTGAGATTTCTTTTTAATTCTCACGGTAACGTCTTCGTCTTTGATCACAGACTGTAAGCTTCGGCGAAAAGTACTGGTTGTTCGTCCATTTGGACTCTGGCTTTTGTCAGGGCCTGAGTTTAGCGTGTACATCCGTTTTACTGGCTTAACTGTGTGTAGCTGGTTATCCTTGCCCCTCGGGCAAATGCACTCCGACTTCGAAGGAAATCCCCAATTAGTCGACTCCTACGACATGCTTGTCGACACCGGAATCTCCACTGGGAGCTCTCAAGGTATCAAAATCTCAGGTCATAGGCTCTGCACCCTAATTCTGGACTGGACTGTTCACCCCACCAGGACATCACACTGAGCGATAAACACCAAGTGACACAAAATGCCACCATTTGGATGAGAATCACCCGTTGAGAAGTCACAGAAACCCCGTTCTACCCACAGAGTGGGTTATAATTAGGGCCCGGGCAACAGCCCGAGTGCAGCTTCAGAACAACGAAAAATGACGTCCAGCATAGGGGCGTGGATAGCTTCACAATGGGAGCTCAGACCTGTTGAACACCAATACCAATTTTTTAGTGGGTTCCCTCCCCAATAATATTTAGGTGCAAGAGCTCCTTCCCCCTTCCATTATGTATAGACGTCCTCTTTTTTAGCATTTGTTCAAACATTTCACATCATTTTATATAAATTATTATTATTTTTTTTTTGCCTTTCGATGCGCAGTAATAGGAATAATAATAATAATAGTTATCATTATCAATAATGCGCATTTAATCAAGAATTGAGATCCCTGAAGCACCCCACCACCTTCAGACAATTATAAGTCTCCCCCCCCCCCCACCTCCCTTTTTTCACATGTTTTCTTTGTCGTGTCGGCCTTTCGAAAACTACAATAAGTTGTTTGCAGATCGGAAACTTTGACGACCAACACAAAATAGGCATTTGCTTGCTTGTTGTACCCCAACAGGACATCACACAAACGATACACACCCGATGACACAAAGTGCCACCATGCGGATGAGGATCACCCGTGGAGAGCTCACAGAAACCTCTTTCAGCCGTTATGGCCACAATTGTAGCCCAGCTATATTCAGGGTCCCCGGCAAAAACCAGAGTGGGGCTTCAAATAACAAAACACTGTATCCCACAAGTGGACGACTTAAAAATGTAAAATAGTCTTTTTTACTTCCCCAGAAGGTTATACTCTTAGCCAATCGATTCTTTCACTAAAATTCACCAGGACACATGGCGTAATGGAAAGCAAGCAACAAGGATGGCTTCCTTTTTGGTCTCGACATGGCGATGTGTCGCTACCAATGGAAGCAGACTTTTGAACGTTTGCTTTTTCAAGTAGGATATTTGCACAGTAGACATATCTTCTCCTTCTTTGCGTTCGGTTTCGTATGCTCAGATCAGACGATCGGGTGGGTTGCCTCTATGAACTTGCATGTCAGCAGCAGGTGCTTCATGGTTCCCCATAGCTTGCTCTGCACTTTGCTCTTGTGGTCCTGTTTGACAGGCACACTGTGGGGACTGTACAATCTTTATTTTATGCTTGTGCAGTTGAGCCTGCAGTGTCCTGTTCGTAGACGAAAAATATTTGTATGTTGCTTTCCGTTGAGTCTGCTCATGGGGTCTTGTGGGTGTTTACTGTTAGTTTGTTCTGTCCAAAATTCCTTGTATTTTCCCCTGAGAAGTATCCTGATTTCTGGTAATGACAAAGGATGGGTGTGTTGTTTCTCCTTTATTCCATTTTTCTGCAAGCCTGTCTGCAAACTCATTTCCTGGTATGCCGCAGTGAACCGGGATCCACTGGAGAACGATTTGATTGGTTTCTGCGAGTCTGTTTAGCTGGCGGATCAGTTCTCTCTCCATGTTGTCTCGTGGATCCCCCTGAGTTGCTTTGGAGAACTGACATGCAGTCACAAACGGAAAACAATTTTGCTGTTTTTAATTTTTCTTTCCTCAAGCCCTTTGACTGAATCAATAATTGCTTGCTGCTCTGCTCTGAAGTTTGTTGCGAGTCTTCCGGAGGCGCAAGTAGTATTGTATGCGCTGGTCCAACAGTAGACGTCATAGCCTGGCTATGGACCCTGGCCACTGGCTGCCTGGTCCCGGAAGTTCAAAGGGTCAATTATTTGTTTGTCCCAAGATGGCGAAATGTTTTGCAAGTTGTCAAGGGCGTCACTGTTTGTTTCTTTAAAAAAAAAAAAAACTTGTTGTGAAATCAAGATGGCGAATTGTTTTGCAAGTTGTCAAGGGCGTCACTGTTTACATGGCGTGGTATATGAGATGACGCCCCCCTCTAGTCCATATATTGATGTATGAGATGACGCCCCCTCTAGTTATTACTATAAACATATTATTATCCTTTTTTGTGTGGTCTTTTTCTCCTCTATAACCGCCTCTTTATCATTGTTTTGACGCCCGTTCTCCTCTATAACCACACTTTTTTTATCATTGTTGTGAGGCTCTTTTTTCTCTATAACGCCAAGCCCCTACGACTTTAGGGGAGAGCCGCCCCTAGATTTTTCGCCCTTCATATTGTTATATACGAAACCGGGTCTCTACCTTAACAAACAGGCCTTTATTCGCTTGTTTATGTTGGGTCCCTCTGTCTTCTTCTGTTAGTGGGGTCCCGGTCCCAATATAGCTTGAAATACAAACACTACCCGTTGTTGTTTCCGTTTGCTAGAGGGGATATCTTTTCACCAATTGTTCACTAAGCAATGTACGGTAGTATTCATGGCGCCTTGTTTCCGGTTTCTACCTCAAGCCTCAACAAACAATTCGACATCCGTTTCTTACGAAACCAAAAATAGTTAAATTCTAGATCAAATCAATTGTTCACTAAGCCATGTCCGGCATTATTTTATAAACAACCTATGGTCAAGGTTGGCTAGGAAGGGGGGAAATTGTGGTTTTATGTTTGGCATTTAGTCAAGAAGGGGTTGACATTCTTGGTTTTATATGTAAGAGTTATTTTATTTCTTAGTGTCCTGGGCACATAGGGCTAGATACTGGACGAACAACCGGAACTACTACTACTACTGTACAACTGCTACACTACTATAACTACTGTACAACTGCTACACTACTATACAACTGCGACACTCCTACTACTACACTACTATGGGCATAGCGGGCTAGAGGCATTATTTTATAAACGCCCCAAAACAAGTTGGGCACATAGGGCTAGATGCATTATTTTATAAACGCCCCCAAAACAAGTTGGGCACATAGGGCTAGATGAATTATTTTATAAACGCCCCAAAACAAGTCAGTACTATTGTTGTGTACGGTCAAGGTTGACTAAAGGCGTCGGTGCTTGGGGTTATAGTGGAGACTTCCTGCTTAAAAGCTTGTGGAAAAACATTATTCGAACAATACTCAAACTCGAACTCTTTAAACAAAGCAGACAAATAAGCCTAGGTCAGCAGTATGAATCATCGTATCAATCCGCTGTTATAAAAACCGTGATTGTCAATATTTTTATTTATCAGTCAAAAATCGCCGAAGGCTGAAAACTCGAGAGCCCTGAAAAAAACAACATTGAAAGCTATTTCTTGTGAGAAGAAAATCTTTTACAGCTGGTAAGTGTTTAATTTAACTGTAGGCCTGTGTGTGTAGTTACTTCACAGTCAAAGGCAGACTGTTGGTTCCCTGCTATTTCATCAAGAAATAAACAGTCGGTTTCTACCCCACTAGGACATCACACAATCGATAAACACCCGATGACACAAAGTGCCACCATCCGGATGAGGATCGCCGTGGAGAGGTCCCAGAAACCGCGTTCAAACATTAGGCACCATTTAAGGTTCGTTTCACAAGCAGAGAAACAATGTGTGAAAAGAAACAGACCGACTGCTTGATATAAAACCCACCGCCCTTACGGCTTATGGTCAATTTGGTATATTAAGCAATTTACGTATTTAACCAAGACTAGGCTTTCTTTGACCGAGTTCTTTAATTAAATCAAAATTTTACAGACAAATAATATTTACATATTAGAAAGTAGCAGATCCGTTTATTACATAATTTTCAACAATAATAACAACACCGCCATTGGTAATAAAAATAGCTAGAAAAAACTCGTTTAATAGTAAAAAAGAAGAGTTCTTTCCCTTAGTATTTGGGGACTAAAATTATCACCCTGGATAAATCTCGGACAAAAACACTTGGAGGGGCTATACGGTTTAAT